ATAGGACTTGATAGTTACTGTGACCTCTAATTAAAAAAAATGGCTTTTTGATGTGGTTACAGTTTTCTTCTTTACTTACTTGAAAGGTATTCCATATTGATTTAATTTGTTGCAGTTGTGGGTTAAGTGATGATCCCATCACAACATTCACTTTAATAGATCAATTTACATGAGAATTTTAATGACAAATAAGAAAATATTTGTCATATATTTTTGTTCAATAACAAGACAATAATAAAGAATATTTAATCAAATGATTTCGAATTCCAAATGCATCTGGCAAATGGGCACTGATCTTGCAGTTCATAATGTTTCTTGCCCTTTCTCATAAGTAAAATTCTAATATTAATTGGGTAATGCAAGGTTAATGCTCTTGACTTTTCTCTTAAAATGGTTTTCAAAAGATACATGTTTTCCATATGTATTATAGGATCTGACTGATAATTTGTCAACTAATTTAAAAAATGTCTTTTTGATCTGGTTACAGTTTTCTTCTTGTCCTAGTTAAAAGGTATTCCGTATTGATTTAATTAGTTGCAGTTAAGGTTGTGTGGGTTATGTGATATAATTTCAACATCCACATTATTAGATCAATTTTTATAAAGAAATGTGTAAGAGGAAATAATTACCAAAAATACATTCTTCTTGTAACAAGAGAAACTTTCAGAACATTTAAAGTTAAATAATTTCTCATGCCTAATTCACCTGGCAAATAGGCAAAATCTTGGAATATATAACACTAATTCTTGTTTCTCATATTTAAAGTTCTTATTGTTCAGAAATGCAAGAATAATGCTCTAGACATTTCGTTAAATGTTTTCAAGCAGTAAATGTTTTCCATATTTATTGCAGGGCCTGATCGATAACTTGTCTATAATTTTTAAAAAATCACAGAAAAATGCTAATATTTTCCTTTTGTTTTGAAAGAATCGCTAAATTGATCACGCCCTAGTCATAAATATGCATAGATAGAAAGTAACACAAATTTATCTTTTTACTACCTCCTAAGTTTGATAATATTACTCTGGGCTACACAACTTTGTTTCCAAACCTTTGGTTGTAGATATATTTATATATTTATTTGACTACTTTTTGGATATATTTATCCCTGGAAAAAGGTTTGAATATTCAGAAAATTGTTCAGGACGACTTCTGACTTTTTTTAAATATCATTTTAAAACATGGAATTGAAACCAGGTCAATGACTGGTCAAATTCATTCTTTCATTCCCCCCCCCCCCCTCTTTAATTTGTGAAGTACCTAAAATGCATAATTAGGTACATGATACATTTTAGATATCATTATGCCAGTAGCCCAGTGTAATTAATCAGGCTCTTTTTGTAGGGGTGCTTAACTGTATTATTGGGCATAAAATAATTTGATTATGTTCTAAGTGTGGAATTAACTAATTTGTAATCTAGTGCCAATGATGAATTTATTCTTTTACCTTTTTAATATCTTTAAAAAAAAAAAACTGAAGTTTTCTTCCTGCAAGTGTGTGAGGTACACATGCTGTATGATTATTTATATTTACAAAAGATTCTTTTTTGACTCTTGGCATTTTTTCCCTGAAGCAACCTGAAGATTTTGTGAGAGAACCCACAATAATATTTCTGTTGTTTCCAATGAACATAAAATCTATTTAAAAATAATATATGTTGAACACCCGCAAAATACTGTTTTCTCTTTAAATCTAATCACATTTATTACTATTTGTTTTAATATTTTCGTTTTTCTGCTTTTTGTTCACAAGTCAGAAGACGAGCCTCAACAGCCCTTGGAACTGGACGACTGTGACAGTGAACGGCGAGTAGCGATGACCTTACTACCTTAAGGACCCTTCTCGAAACGACAGACATCAGATTCACCATTCTACCCACAAGTTTCAGCTTTGAATCTGTGGAGATTAAAATATTGGATGTGAGGTAACAGGTTCTAATAGGAGCCAGTATTTCACACTCAGCTATTGTTTTTCGTGGCGTTCGATTGTATCTCAGGAAACTTCTGACGCTGTGATTTTTTTAATGATAATTTATATGGTGATGACGTCTTGAGTAGAGTCCTAATGGTAGTAATAAGGATGGCTGAGGTATAACGCTTTCTTGTGTGCCATTTCAGACATTGTAAGACTATGTTAACTGATGCAAGACATTTTCAAAACTTGCATACAGAAGTGTGTATCAAATAAGTACTTGAACATATCGAACTAACAACTTCTCAAAAAGATATCAGTATATCGGAATTACATTCCATAATCTAGCATTGGTAAGAAGAAACTGACACTAAGAGAATGTTCCTTTCCATGAGAAGTCTGTTAACCTATACTTGTTCTGACGTGTTTTTATGGTCTTTTGAGTGACCTGGATCATTGGTCGAACTTACTAGAATAGTTGAAAGTGTGAAGTTTTCAGTTCACCAATAAGTATTATATATTGGCCAGCGTGGGCAATGGTATTGAGTTTTAAAGAGACTGAAAGTTACACAAAGCTTGGATATCTATGTGAGGATTGCTGAAACTTTTATAAAAGAAAAAAATGTTCAGAAATGTTTTAATTGTTTCTCTGTTTGTTTCAATCACATGGATATAATAGATACTTGTAGTTACAGTTTCTGAATGTTTGATAATGTGAGAGCACAATAACTACAACAAAAATGTTGTTTTATTTTGTTAAAAACAAATATGTGTGAAATAAAAGTTCAGTGTGTAGATATTTTATTATAGAAACTAGTCGAAATATTTCTGTAATGTATTATGTATTAAAAGATGGGAGACTTACGGGCAGTAGACAGAAGACTGCTCCAGAACTGTGCCAAAATGTGCGGAGTGAAAGGTGGTGTTGTTTTTATCTTTGTACATCCTATCCACGTATTTCTCCACTATTTCAATGTTCTTGGTTTCATTCATGTGCTATTTGTATGTACAGTTTTCATACAATTATTCGTGAGGGATTTTATGTAATTAAAGTGAATGAGAAAACTACATTCTCAAGAGTAAGTAGATATTTCTAATAAGTAATAGATTTCTTACTAAAATTTCATATTCCTATTTACCATATACCAAAGGCGTATGTGACTGTATATTTTTCAAATCCTTTTATGCTCACCTTTTTGTGTGTGCTAATGTAAATATTTGTACATATGTACGTACTTACAAACTTGCAGCTTGTGCTCACTAGTATATTTCTTTGAATAGGAATGTACTTTTGAAATATTATTGAAATTAACCAAAAAGAGAGATATTTTATACAACTCGTGAAGAGTTCAGTGAAAACTCTTTGCATACTTGACACTTCTTTCTTCCTACCTCAAGAATAAGGATATAGAAAATTTCAATGAATAGCACATGAGTGATAAACGAGTAATGTATACAATTTGAAGATAAGGTTTACAAAATGGATAGTATTGAAAATGACTGAAGTGGTTTAAGAATGAGGTATTTGTAGCACTGGCCACAATGTTTTTTAAAGAAGCACTTTGAATTCTTTTAAGACATATTATTCCTTGTATGTTATATGAATGAGAGTAGAGTATAGATGAAACCTTGTAAATTAGTTCTGAAGTATGTTTGTTGTTGTATGTTTATCTAAAGTTTAAAGCAGTGTTATCTGTTGATTATAAATGTGATTAAAGAAAAACAGAATATTTTAAATAAGCCAGTGCTTCTAATGTAACTTGCCATGTGCTTAAGTGGTTAATTATTGTGTTTAGATGTGTTTAAGTAATTTTTCCACTTACTGTAGGTGTAGTGTGTTGTTACTTGAGTACAAAGTTTGTTGTTTCTTGTAGAGATGTTAAGTTACAGTAAAGAGTCTTTCTTGAAAAGTTGTTTCATTTGTTAGGCTTTGTTTACATTGTGTGCAATTTAAATACTGGCATTTAGAATATCATCACATTAAATATAATTACAATTTTTCAGAAATACTTATCACTCCAACCCCTGGCACAGTGCTGGCTATTTTGCCAAATGGCAGCAAGCTATGTTTTCTTTAAGCTAAGCTAAGCTATACATAGCGTCAAAAGTTTCCCCTCCTACGGTTTCTTGCAGAGAATACTGTATGCACTAGTTTGTCTTTTGTTTTTAAAAAGAAAGTATAAAACCATTATTTTACCAAAGATGATTTTGAATGATGTTTATAAAAGGGTTGAGAATGGAGAGTGGGATATGATGATTAAGATGTGAGAGAATGGTTTTGTAAACTCTTTGGCAATGAATGTTATACTGGAAAACTACAAGTATAATTATTAGATGAACCCTTTTTATATCAAAACTCATTTTTAGATATAATAACAGATTGTAAATTACCATCTCCATTTGTTAAATTATAGTTGTCAGAAGAGTTTATTGTGTAAAAGACGAATTAATCTTACAAAGTAAAAAAATCTGTGATGATCACATATTTAAAGTAAATACATTGGAACAAAAGTTTCACTGTGACAAAACTATTCGTCTTACACTCCTACAAAACATGAAAAGCTCTGATAAAACGACTTTGTACATAACTGTATGTAAGTGGTTATATTATACATAAATATATATTGTATATACAATAATAAGCACACTACATTGTGATTTCTAGTTATTTTTGCCTTTTTTATTTTGACCTGACCTTCCACATCCAATGAAAAGACCATTGTAGGATTTATTAGGATTAGAACAGTTGTAGCATGCAGTAGGTTGGTTACTTTGAGGCTACAGTAGTTAGATAAATATATTGCTTAAAAAATCTATTAGTAGAAAATCAATTGTTTTCAGTGTAGTTAGCAATTCTTTTTGTGATTCGTATCACTTTTAATATACCATTCATGCAATTAGAAGAAGATAAGAAAACGGATTGATATTTTTTACATGATTACAAAAAATTTTGGTTTCTCGAGTAAACGAAATCTTTTGGAATTACTCGAAGAAAAAAGCAAACAACAATAATTATTTATTATCTTACATTCCCAGATATTAAGTTCTCTGGGAATTTAATCATCACATTTGAGCTATTCGGTCTCTCCGTACATGAATACGAAGTTACAAATTTCAGTTCCTTTCAATTGCCGGCAATTGTCACGGGTCAAGTGCACGGTGCAACTTCGGTATTGTGTTGGGTGTTTATTGAGTGATAAAGAGGTAAATGCATTGCAACAATGAATGCGAGCTGTTAACAATTCAAGAGTGGATAATAACTTCAAAGAACTGTTCCGACAATTTGCACTAGAAGAAGACTGGTGAATCGGTTTTCCACGGCAACATAACCCCAGAATACAAAACCAGGTAGGTTATGGAAAATTGCCAATCTAATTTTGCTAATTTAAGTGAATTGGCGTTTTGAATTATTGACTTTGATATATTCAATGTTCCTTAGAGTCCTAACTTTGAACTGAGATGCGAAAGTTACATAAAATAATGTCTTTGCCGAGATAGTATTATTTCATTACATAGTACATAAGATTTCTTAGCAGTTTTTTCTTTCAGAAATAATTTAGTGGATATACAGAATAATACAGCAAAAGTTTCTTTTATAACTAATGAGCAAGTAAATTGCTTTAACAATTGCCCTCTTTTAATTGATTATACAAGATCTGGGGGAGGAAATTTACGTGGGCTGTGATGACATTCATTCTCGTAGTACAGACGTTCTTAGTACATCGTCTCATGCTTTTGAATTCTCTAATTCAGTGACTTTTATTTCAAATGGCGACACGAGAAGCACATTAGAAACGAAAAAAAGATTTGCAGATGTACTATGTTTTGTAATTATTTGCAAAACAATTCAGTCCATGTGAATTTACGTATGTTAATTTTCCTGGTAGTTTCGCGATACCTTTTCATGCAACCACCTTAAAACTTTGTCATGTGTCAACATTGTTTAAAAAACGCACAACCTTCCGTTTTGATACCGTTTCTGAAAGATACTTTGGTCAAATGGATTTCCTGCCTAAATTCTATTTTTAGTTTTAGTTTGCAAATATAAGTTAAAGTTTTAAGTTAAAAGAAATATATAAAACCTCGTAACAATAACATGATACATAAATGGAAGAGCATGAATGATTGATGACGTTTCTTATAATTACTTTTATTTTTGAATGAAGGAACTAAAAAAGTGAGTGAGGAAATTGTATTACATACTTATGTAATAGAGTGACGCTTGTACCTCTTTTTAGATAAGCAAGTGAAGAATAGCCGCAGGAATTAATTACTTGAGGGAGGGGCAATGTTATTTATTTTCAGTATCTTTTATTTCAAAAACTCTGCGAAGAAGCCGTCTCCGAAAGTCATGAATGGTACAATTTGTAAAAGAATTCGAAGACGCATTCAATCAGAGCGCACCTCCCAGTTACGGGATTTCGGCGACGGTGGCACGCGATTTGAAGGGAGCGAGCGAGGACGTCAACTTGCCCAAACCATGGCGATCACCCGGCCAGAAAACCGGTCGGTAGCGGGCGGTTGTTTTTTCAGAAAACGCAAAGCTGTAGGGTGCTGTCGCAGAGCTACGGGCTCCTGGGCAATGGGCACTCGATTCTGAAGGATCTGACTGCACGATGGCTTTGCTCCGGCGGTTCAACACAACTTATCTCAGTTGTTGGAAATGTTGTCACCTACGTCTGTGCACTTCTTACTCCGACAAAACATTTCTGGCAATTTTATTGTCTGTGTTAGAAATTGTCCTCTGTGTTCTTAGTATTCTTATAACGCATAACCTCCGTCCATTCGACCGTCCCTCTGACTGACTGACTTTCTGTTTGTCCGTCACACATAGACCCCTTCCAAAACGCTAATCGAGACAAATGAAGTGCCATTGGACGCATCCTAGTAAAAACTGACCATTTTCTCCGGATCGTGCGTGAACATTTTTTAAAAAAATATCACAAAACCTTATTTTTGTGGGCGTATGTACGTGTATGTGTGTGCGTGTGTGTGTGTGGGAGATTAGTACCTAAAACGCGCTTTGGGGGATGTGATTAATAGCTTTTCGATTCTTCATGAGCCTAATGTATGGGCTCTGTTTTTAGTCTTTCAGAACATTGGGGAAGGGGGTGGGTCTAGAAAAAAACATTTGTTTGTGTGTTTCAAGGCACTTTCAGTGGTAAAACGCCGTAAATTCCTATTATTAGGGCATGAATCCTCAGGACAAGGTTGTTCAATCTCATTATGATATGAAATTTACAATTATTTTTAGAAAGTACTTTTATCGTTGAATTATATGCTTTGAAAAATAATACGTCTTCCAATATTTTCAAACATTAAATGACAATTTGGTTATTAGAAGGACATTCAGCTAGTGTAACGTATTGTGTTCCTGAAGTTTCGTTATTATTGTGCATGGATTGTTTTTGTATACTCTGCTCATCATCGGGACAGTTCTTCGTCCTTCCCTAATCATCATGTCCCTGATGTGGCTTTGCACATTTAATCCCCAAATACATATTGAATCTACTTTAAGTGCCCATGTACTCAATGCTTTCATCTATCAATCATGTTTCCTAAACAATTTTGATATTTTTCAATTTACTCTCGAGGGCCTTCAGACCAAGCAGAAATATTTTTTTAAACAAAGTGTTGATAACCACCACTGAAGTAAAAATGGGTTGTTTCTGCAACAAAGTTGAGATCTCTCCGCCGGGAACCGCCGCGGGCGGGACCGAAGTACAACAACGCGAGGGGCCGCGCCCCGGCCACTGACAGCGCGATCGCCCGCCAAACAACTGTCAGAACTCCCCACAGGACTTCAGTAATCACTAGAACCTGAACGTTTAGCAAAATACTTTTTATTGTTAATATTTTATGAATGTTGACTATAGGGATCACTTAATTGTACTTCTGAGGTTGTTTTAGCTAATTTTCCTTTTGCCTCTTCTTTGCCTATTTTAGTTTCTGATGCCAATTTTTGCCGTTTTGTATTTTTTGCCTATTTTTGACTTTTCCCTCATTATTAGTAGATTTTCATTTTGCTTTTTTTGCCTATTTTTGCTTCTGTTGTCTATTTTGGTCATTGTGTCTTATTTTTGCCTTTTTACTGCCTTTCACTTATTATTTTGCTTTTTTTTTCTGATGACGCGGATTTCGATCAAGTTGGATATACATACCTGCAATCCTGGTCAACAGACAAGGCACGGTCGTATTCTATCTTTCTATAAAATCAGGGACTGTGTTAAAAATCTAAAAGAAAAAGGATGATACCAGCCAAGATGTTTGATTTTTAAATTGATCTCTTTGCTCACGAAGAATTCGGTTCTAGTTTTGAGTATGAACACCAATCCCTTTTGAGAACAGCTCTCTTTATATGATATATCATTCTCAGTACTGGCGATTACATAAGTGCAAAGAATGAAAATTATAATTACGATTTTACTGATGTCATGTCAAGATTTAAAACGGAGTTCACTATAGCTAAGCTATTTTCTTACAAGTTTAGTGTTAATGTAAGTTTTAGAGCTGGAATAAAAATTTGAATAATTTAATTATTAATTTTTATAGCAAGTCCTTTTAAATTCTATGTTTTATTATTTTCATGTCTTTTTGCAATCCTACTTTACCTAGAAGAAAATCCTGTTTGCATGCCTATTTGAGGTAAAAACAAATACCTGAGCTTCCGGGCTCTAGCAATCACCCTTCGCATGCTAGAGATAATAAGCATTTCATTAGATTGCTAACGTATGAATGCAAATCGACTTATGCCTTGTGATTCTTAGAGACGGTTCATTGAGGATCATTTCCAGAATGCATTTAATACGGGAATATTTTAGGCAAACGTTGAGATATTTATACGTATTTATGAATAGGAAAATATAATAAAACATTATTGTATTTATTAGCGATGTGAAGTGCAGTTTTCAAGTACCATCATGTACATTTCTTCACGATCGATGTCCTTTCTGTCAAGAACGTAGAAAGTTGAATATTTGAATGAAAAAAATAAATTTACCTTGATTATGAGTCGAGACTTCAATCATGTGTCTGACTTATGACGAACAATCAGGCAGTACATCGTATGTAATATGTATGTTTCTGTTTAGAATAAGTGAATAATTGAGAATTTGTGTGCCAGAAGATGATAAACCACAATTAATGAGTGATTAGAAAATAAAATTTAAAATATCAAGTTTTAGAATCGATTATTATCAAATACGTCATGGTACCTCAAAACATACCTCAATGATGGGATAAGGAACGTAGTAATTATTTACGGCTAAACTTGACCATCTCGTGTCCTAAATCAAGGAAGTACAATAACACCAACGCGCTCTCCCGCAGCAAATATCAAGCAAAAATTATTGACTCTTGATGACGGTCTTGAGGGTTTTATTCCACTGGAACTAAGAACCTCTAACACCAACCCCACGAAACTACTAAAAACTACTTTAAAAAATGCAGCGTTAAAATACAAAGGGTTCCAAGTAATGAGAGTAACTATTAGATAAAAACGCGGGCCCCTCTTTCCCCGGTCGCCATCCAACCTTAATATCTCCGGTCGGAAAACCACAGAAATGCAGATGCGGCGCGGGGCGGGCGGAAGGGCGCGCCGAAAAGTGGACGTGGAGAGAGGGCCGTAATTCCACTTAATTAGTGGAGGAACACGCGTCTTCCGGAGGCGAGCGGAGGGGGTGGGGTGCCAATTACGAGCCCCTCATTACGCCCTCCGCCCTGGGCAGCCCGGCGACCGTGACGGGCGCTGGCGAGTAGCCCTCCGGTGGCAACGCGGGAAGGGCAGACGGACTTCTCGGCGGCGGAAGAGGCTCGGCGAGGGAGCGTTTGGCGTCAGTGGCGGGTCGAGGGGGAGAGGCACGGACACGTTGATCACGCCCCATCCGAGACAAATTTTTGTTGCTGTTATTTTACACAAAACTGCTCGCAGTAGAAAACAATGTTGCTGAACTAAAGTATACAAAATGGTTTTCCAATAAGGAGCACAGACACTGTTCAAGAACAACAAATAGTATGCTCTCGGATAGCACTACAGTAAATTAATATTTTAATACTAAGAAGTCTTATCGAGTACTGGAATAACATAGTGCAGTATCAGGGTTGTCCAACTGGCATCCCACGGACCTTATGGAACCTGCAGTGCCATTTACTGTGGAACCGCGAAAGGATAGTCAAAAGTGAAGTCTCTTGTATTCATGTCGAGCGAAAACGTGCGCCTATGTATAGTACGCGCCCTGCCGAGGTCAACGCCCCCTTAATGTAAAAATAGAACAAGTTTAGATTTAAGAGATTTTTTCTAGTAAATTCAGAAATTTAAAATCATCCCAATGTATTTTACCAGTAAATCA